GGAGCTGCTATCAAGAGGGATTTTACTGGAATGGTTTTGATATATCGGAACACTGTTTTCTTCTAACTTACAGTGCACTGGTTATTAGTGAAGAACTACAACCCAAACTTCATTGGCCGTCAATAACGTCGGCTGTTGTACAAACAAATCCTGAAAATATTAATGGCTTTCAACACAGGAACATTGCTCGACTAGTAACCCCTTTTGTAGACGTTTTTTCTCTCTTTGCAGGCCTCCTTTCAATCTTGTGGGAGTTCATGCTTGTGTTCACCACAATTTATTTTCACACTGTTCATCAGAAAGTTCTTGGGGCTGGTATAGCGATATTTACCTGGTATATCACTTACAGAGTCTGGTATCATGATGCACTGTCACCAGGACTGCCTTGGGTCCCTAATGATAAAGTGATTTGTTGAAGTTGTTTTCACTTAAATGTGAATTTTATCAATTATATATAGAATAAATCATAGGTTTGTCTTTGAATGAGATCCCTGATACTAAATGTAGTGCCCAACTGAATTTTTCAGGCTCCTTTTTCTGCAATTACTTTTATTGCAGTTCATTTGTGGGGTGGAATTTGTTGCTTTTTATTTTGAAGGTTCCCCTCAAAAAATATTATTTATGATTATGTTATCCCAAGAACCTAAGCCTTCTAATTAGAGAATCCAAGAAGTAATTTTTGGCTTTCTGTTTAGTGTTGTTTATTGTCTGATATCAGTACTTATGTCAAGCTAACTTTACTGTAGCTTGCAGAGCAGGTGTAACTTTGGCAAGTGAGTGGTCAGTATTTTGGTAACGAAAATCATGGCCACCAACTTTGATTTTAATGGCAGCAGAAGGCTGGGGAGAGAAAGAAATTTGTATCAAAGGGGTGGTAATGGTTGAAAATGAGAAGAGGGGTAGGGGAAAGGTAGTAAAAACCATTGTTGTGTCTTTTTATGTGTTGAATTATTTGAGCTAATACAGCTAATAATATTTGGATACTCCTGAGAATCTGAGCAAATAAAACTTTGGAAATGCATGTGAAAAGTATGAAAAATAGGAATTGCATTCTTAGACAGGAAAGGTCTGTTTTGAAATGATGTTATCCCTTGAACATACCCCAGATGCTCTGTCTAAAAGTAAAACTTGGAAGAAGAAGGCCAATCACAGCCTGTCGTAGAAGAGTGGCAAAATCAGTGATACAAGCAGACTGACTGGTGCAGATACAAACAGTAACTTGGCAAATGCTATTTTTATGCCTTTCTCAACCAGTGGCATGTAGGGAATAGCAGATAAGGGAAAGGGCATTTACTTTAACCAGATTTGAAGGCAGTCATGATTTTTTTTTATCTATCTCAATCTATTTTCTGTTAATTTAGTATTATCAACTGAGCTGAAAATGTAAATTGGCCACCATGAAGAGTTTAACCCTCTAACTCCCATGAGTGACCAAGACAGAATTTCTCCTTACAATATCAAAATAATATCAAGCAAAAAAGTGATGAGATTAGGGAAAAATTACAATTAGGGAATTATTAGTTGATCCAATACCAAATTATCTGAAATAACACCATGAGAATTGTGTAGCAGACAGTAAGGAGAATTACATATGAAATCTTGGGAGTGAAAGGGTGAAAAGCTGATGTTTTGAGTGTAAGCCCTTTGTCAGAGTGAAGGATTAAGGGCTAATACTTGAAATGTCAGCTTGAAACTCTTTATGGTGGCCAATTTTTGTGATCAACTCAGTTGATAATATTAAATTACCCTGTTGTTTCTTTAGAAACTACTCCCCTTTATTATTAGTTTCTGGTAGTGCTGCTCCTGTCATTCTAAACATTGAATTTTTTACCAGAATCTGGATTTTAGTCAAATTTTGATATTTCTGATAAATCTACTTCCAGGGATGCCCACCTCTTGAAAACAAAATTGTACTTTCGGATGGCCTCCTAGAGCCCATTTTGCTTCCCTCACCTCACCCCCATCTAAATTTGTTGAGTGACTGCTTTATTCCAGTCTCCCAAAACTGCAATATTGTTGAATTACACACAGGAAAAATTATGACCATTCTCAATTTTCATTTTCACCACAAATTTCCCTCATTGTATTAATCCTTGTGGATTGAGGGCAGTACACAATATCTGCAAAAATTAGCCCGAAAAATTATCTTACTATACCAGTAGCTAAATGGGTTCCTGACTGTACTGCTTAGCTCAGCCTGGCCTGTAAACAGACTGAGGTCCTGGAACTACACTACAAGTGTGACCTGGCTGATGACGTCATTATATCATCAAGTTAACGTGTCGATTTCGATGACGATGCTGAAAACTGCTGAATTTGGTTCACCGGAGCTTTCTTAATGCAGGTTTGTAGCTATGAACTGTCGACATTTTCAGTTTAAAATGAATCACGTATGATGAAAGTAAGTTAGTTCGATTTACTTGTAAGTTATCTGTTGACATCGCAGCTTCTGGTGAATCGACATCGCTCTCTAAATGCGCGAGTTTATTATTATGCCAAATTAAAATATCATGAAGACAACCCAATCAGACCAGATGGTTTTTGTTTTATGAGGCTCGGCTCCTTTAAATATGATTTAGCCGATCTCACAGCTGCAGTTAGACCACAACAATGTACAAAGTTTAGTCTTCAAATGAGGATCGATTGGCAAGTGCACCGGTGCTGCATTTACGAACTGATTTTCAAACTTTACAGTTGTAGCAGACAGTTATTGATGTGTTGGAATTATGTTTTTATTTAACCACTTGTGCAATCAAAAATAATCGCGTGAGGGTGAAGCTTAATTAGTCGGTAGAGAGACAAATGTCGCAAGATCACGTTGCTGTGGGCTTCGTTCGTTGTTTATCAAGCACGATCAGTTCTCACTGGGCTAAGAAGTTAATTTCATCAAGTGCGTCATTTTTTGTATAAAGATAAAACTCTTGTAGGTTTTATTCATTCAATACTGCAGTTTATCTGTTTCTGCAAGTAATGTTGTCGGAAGTAGCGAATAATTCGCTTCATCTGGTAATTAAGCTTGACTTCCCCGAAGGAGAAATACTTACGAGCGGGCGGCAGAGAGGCAAAATATGCGCGCATGTTCTGTAAATTTTTGTTTGATGCGAGAAACCGCTGATATGCGCCTGCGTCGGATTCCCGCTAAAGAATTGCTGAAGAAACGATGCAGGAAGCAGGTCGGAAAACAACCATGGATCGAGTATTTGAGAGAAACGTTCTTGATATTTTCCCCTCTGTAACTTAGATGGAAGCGTCAAAGTCTTAAAATTGTTGTGCGGTATGTGGAAGGAAGTGATTATCTAAAAGTAAAAGATTATACAATCGACTTCGAGTCTTGCTTTATGATTTTTTGGGCAATCGATGCAGATGCTATCTGTGAAGAATGCAATGGGCCTGTAGAAGAGCACAAATGTAGTAGATAGCATACTTTAATCGTGTCATTGCTATCTCAAGTTAGCGTTAGTCATTTGAATTACTCGCTTTCCTGTGAGCGTTTTGAAGAGCTTCAACTGGTCTGTACTGCTAGTGCAATGTTCTTGAAATTTTAGCGAAAAATTAAAGTTTACGGAGGTCTTTGTTTTGTTTCAAAAGTTTTTTTTGACATGAATCACAACTGGCAGGGCCGATTACCCAAACAAAAACGGTCAATGTCGAGTAAAGAAAAGTAAGATAACGCCTTGTTTTGTTTCAAAAGTTTTTTGACATGAATCACAACTGGCGGGACCGATTACCCAAACAAAAACAGTCAATGTCGAGTAAAGAGAAGTGAGACAACTTTAGTACTAGAGATACGGTCGTTACATCAAAGGAGAGCTAGTTAGAAATGGAGGAATCTTTAGAGATTTTATCAGAGTAAGGAAAACTCTTTTGAATCATTAGTCTTTGAAATATCATCAGATACGATCAATTATGTGGGGAAATTGTGAATTAAAACATGTATTAGTTTGGACTTCCATTTGTTATATGAATAGTTAAATAAATCAATTATTTCCTAATAAAAATCATGTCCGTTTATCATAATCTTAACTCCAGAATAAAATCTTCAACACTCTTTGCAACCTTATTTTCCAATCTATTAAATTACAAGTTATTTGACACTCTTATTATCAGCCAAACAACAAAGAACCAGTAGGGCTGATATTAACAGCGTGGGATGAAAAACAAAAAATTTCGAAAATCCTTTTTTCCTTGGAACAAGAGTAAATGAGATCAGATAAAACTAATGTGTAGAGGTTTGTTGACCTCTAGATGAAAATGGATAATTTACACCTATCAGATTTTAGAGAAATGAGACTTACGTCAAAAGGGAACTTTGACATTGCATATTATGCAGTAATAGGTACCCACCTGGATGCCTCTTTGAGGAAATTTATAGTTTTTTAGCCGGGGGTTTGGCTGTACCAATTTTATGGCAGACAATTAATTAAATCATACATCAGTCACCTGAGAAATTTTGTAGCTCTAAACCTGGAAGCTGAGGAACATGTCAGTATTTCAGCTGATC